TAATCTGAAAAACCCATCTCAAGTAATATTCATACTAATTGTGGTGAAAATGTGTCCATGCATTGTCGAGTTATTTTGTACACACACACACGCGCTCTGTTTGCAGTCAGGCTCTATCAGTTACCTCTTCGTTCAGCTTCTGTCGATACTCATCCAGTTCTGACAGAGACTGGTGGCCTTGTTGGAAGAACTGGGCCTGAGCCTCCATCAGTGACAACATCTGACAGGACACACGAGACATTTCCATTCGACTCTTTAACTTAAACGTTTTGAAGATACAGACACAAAGATATCAAACAAAAATAGGTCAGAGTGAACTCACTGCCATGAGAATGTCGGTCTTCTTCTTGGCCTCTATGACATTAATCTGGAACAAAAGGAAGCAGCGGTTTCAGAAAACTTCATGTTTCCATAACCAGACACTCAGAGGCTGTTTCAGACGCCGAGAGACACAACCACAGACCTGGAGAGAAGCCCCGAGGCAAATGAATCCACTGTTTATATGAAGGCTAAAGACTCTGAAAGGTTTTGTGAGTGCTGTGACGATGCTGGAAGTCTTTGAACCTCTTTCAGCTGATTGTTCAAACATATGTAGACCAAATGTGCATATCTATGTTTTTAAGCAAACACAAGTCGATGGATTGATAAACTGTGATTTCTCACCTCCAGGACGTAGTCCAGGGCCTCAGACCGAAAGGTCCTGCGTGCGTTGAGCAGAGCGTTGCTCACCTCCTCCACATCGTTTTGCTTCCCCCGTGGGGCCTGAGCGTTTCTCGACAGCGCCCCCTCCAGGGTTTCGCTGCTGCGCTCGAACTCCTTACGCACATCTTTGAACTTACGGACATCTCTGTGGGACAGGAAATAATTCCTTTTCATTCTGCTTACATGTGGATTCAATGTTTAATTGACAAATACGTGAAATGACAGTTTGATGAGACAGTTACAGGGTCGGTGCACTAGAATATGCTCGTATATAGTTTCCGCTGTGAAAAGTGAAAAGAAGGTTGTTATCGAAGGTTTGGTGCTGGATTATTTATCTGCAGATTGTTATTTACAATCATTGATCGAGTGCATGCGCGGCTCTAAACCGCAAACACATGGCGTCAAAAGCACAAGATGGCAGCATCTGGATATTTTAGCTTCATTATTGTTGCAACAGGAGGAAGCAGAGGCGTGTTGTAGAAACGTAGAGGGAAATGTGTCTCTGGCTAAACATCAAAAGAGTAATAATGACTCCTGTCAGATGCTATCACACATCCTCTCGCTCATTGAATCTCCCGTATAGTTCCCAGGAATGAGAGCAGAACACAAGACGAAGTGTGAGGAGAAAGGGAAATGAGTTTTCATGCAGTGGGATAATAGTTGGCAGATATGCAGGGGAGTGGGTCGAGTTGTTAAAGGGAGACAGGAGGTAAAAACAAAAAAAAGATGCATGCTATAAACAGCTCACTCACTCTTTGACAAAGTTCTGCAGCTTGGTCTTGACAGACTTCTGTGTGGTCTCGATCACTTCCTGGCAGGGAGTAGGTGAAACAACGGGTAAATGTCAATCGTAACGTTAGCTGCAACCTTGCTTGACCACATACTGCAGCTGATAAGCGTCACGACTGGAATGGAAACTTTCTGTGCGGAGGCAGAAAGTCAAACGCCTCGACAGACAGACTCACCCCCTGCGCCTCCAAGATAACGGACAGCTTTTTGGAAAACATGTCCAAACACTCCTGCAGGACAGAGATTCAAGATTAGACTCACTCCAATTCAGTAATACAAAACATAAAGGTTCCACAAGAACAGTGTGAAACATTTGACCGTCTGGATAAAATAAGATGAGTATCTCTCTATCATGCAATCTTAGAGGAGAAATAATGAGTCAACAACCATATGCTCCTCTCACCTCCATCATCTTGTCCCCGGAGCACTGATGTCCCAGCTCCCGGAGGCCGCTGACAAAGCTCTTGCTGGTCTGGCAGTAGACTCTGCCGGCCTCCAGCATGGCCTGGCATTGTTTCACGAGCTGCGGGACGCAAACACATCACACAGTCATCCTGAATGCTTCACCCAGAGGTCGTGATCAGTGTGAAGGATTAAAGGAGAGGAGTGAGTACAGGACACGTCACATTCAAGCAATGAAGCAATCAGAGTGAGACGCTAAGGAAAAAAACTATTGAGAGGTTTTTACAGGCTGGATTTGGATTTTAAAACATTGGTGCGTTTAATGGGGTGAGATATTTTAGAGAGAACTTTGAACAAAGTAAAAATAAAAAACTATAACTGCATAATTTGATCATTTTGACCAAGTGGAGGAGGCAAATCAAGTTGTTAACACAACACTGACGCAACCGCAACTCTTAAAAAGCAGTTAAACCTGACATGTGTTTTATTTCTGGCCATAGTTAAAACTTTACTTTGATTTTGTGTTACGATGCAGCATGCCTCGTGTTTCAGCTGGCAGGGAAATCTCTCTGCCTCTTTGACAATGAGGTCAAAGTTCACTGGAGCTGCTACAGAGTCGTTACTTTGCTCAAGGGAACTCGCACAAAGCAGAGCAGCCTAAAGGGCTCAAACCTGGTTCATCCTGTTTGTCTCATTGACTGCATCTCCCTGCTGCTGCACATTAATCAGGATTCACAATCTATTTCCATGTTTTTATTTTTTATTTTTAGCAAACTACAGAACACAGATAGAACGCTGTGTGGCATGAAGTCAGGAATAATGTAGCGTGACGTATAAATATCAGATATCAGGTCACACACACAGAGTACGTGACCTCTCAAACAAACAAACATTAATACGACGTGTGGAATGTGTCTTATTGTATCAAAGCAGAACTGACAAAACAAAGAGGAAGTAGCACCTGCAGCTACTTCCTGTTTGATTCCAGGTGTAGTGTACCTCAAACACTTCACACCTCTCACTTCACTGTGTAAGTGTGTGTGTGTGTGTGTGTGTGTGTGTGTGTGTGTGTGTGTGTGTGTGT